CAGGATGAATTACATAGAAATCACTTTCTTATCTGTAGCACAGTGAAACTTCTAAGACATTCCTGGTGCTGGTGAAAAGTCAAGCAGTTTGCAGTGAGTTGCTTCTCAGTTGTCCAGAATTGCACAGCTGTTTATATATAAACATATATGTTTTTAAATATATTGCACAGATGAATATCCAGTCCAGCCTAATCAAAAGAGCACAGGAAGGAACATAAAATCTTCTGATTTGGGCCTTAAGCTGATCTTTACCTACATGGGATGTGAAGAGGCCCTCACATATACTCACACGTACTTGACGTGAGGTTTCTTGAATGTTCCTCTGGAGTATTTTGTGGTTGCTACTGACACAAACATAACATGACATGCCCATAAGGCAATCCCTATGATACTTTTAAGCACAACAAGAGCATCTTTCACACATAGTAGAATAAATATGCACAGGAAAGAAGAATGTCTCTAAACAGTAACAGAGTCTATAAAAACAATTTGGCATTCAATAAAAATGTTTTTGCGGCACTTTGACCGAAATAAATTCCTTCCGTCTTCAAAGGGACCTCATTTGCTAAGTTGTTGTGACTTTTTCTCTGTCCAAGTCCTTTCTCATGACCTCTTGCACTAACCAAATCAAGCTTTCCTCACTCCTGGCCCTGGAGTTGTCTACCCCTGTACCTCAGAGACTACTACCCCTACCACATAAGGGCCTGGATCTCTCCTTTGTCCTGCTCTCTGCTGCCTTCCAAACCTGTTCCTTCATTCATTGTTGCTCTGCATTGCCAGCACTTTGCAACTGCAACTGCATCTTTGTACTTGTCTATAAACTGCCTAGCACACCGATTATCAGCAAATAGCTGCTAAATAAAATAACATATAGAAATTATAACTCCCCTGTGCTGTGGACAGCAATGAAGCATACTGTTGTTGCTCTGATTGTTACATATCAGAATTGGCCAAATTCTAATGTTTTTTCCCCAGATTTTTCATGGTTCTTATTTAATCTAGCTTTCTGAACAAAGTAGAACCTGAGACTGGATGTCCCCATGCCTGATCCAATATAAATGAATTTTTCTAGATGAACAAGCACTTAGATAAGGGAGAAGAGTCGGATTTACAATATTTTATGTGTCTGTGTAAAGCTCACCTGAAATTACAATAAATATGCGATGCTGACTGTTGATTCACAGAGCCCTGAACTGACCAAAGGCTTGTTTTTCACTCTGTAATCCCAGGTAATTCTCCTCACACGTTACTTTCAAGTATATATGCCTTGACATTTCAAGAAATACCAGGGATACTTTCCCTAACTCGATGTGTGTTCCCTGTACAGACAGAGGGCATTTCACAGGAGTCAGTGGAACAGA